AATACGCGATGCCAGCACTGAGAAGATTGGGGAGGGCGATGGCCGGAATAACGAAGAGCATGGCGCATCCCAACACATACGTTCGGCACGAGTGTGCTGATTGTTCATGAAGTATATTGCGCAGTGCGACATGCGGTTGGTGTCGTACTATTAGGGGACCATCCAACAAACAAGACGGTCACATGAGCACCATATTTAGTTGCGGTATATTATATTTCCCTCTTCGATTCCAGATCCAATCCCTGGTCCGTGTCTCCGACGCCGGTTCCAGCCCAAAGCCGGGAAGTTTTATCCAAAGGCAGGATATCATCGAGGCATGCACTTAATGTGGCCCGGCAGCATATTAGGCTCCATTACCGTTTCTTCTGAAAGTTTGCCCGTTGGCAGTGCCATCGGCTTTGGGCTCACACGAGAAGGCATAGGGCACGAAGGGAAACGAACTCAGTATCCAAACAACGCTTTCCGTATCCACCCACACCGGTTTCCGTATTTGCCCGCACCGGTTTCCGTATCCACCCACACCGGTTTCCGTATCCACCCGCACCTGTTTCCGTATCCGCCCACACCGGTTTCCGTATCCATCAACACTGGTTTCCGTATCCACCCACGCCTGCGTCCGTGTCCAAAACGGAGACACGGAACGCCGAGGAGCAGGAATGGGATGTCCTAGGAATGTGTGGTTTGTTTGGGGCTGAGGTTTCGGGGAAAGAGTTTCCCGAGGGTTTCCTTAGGAGCCGGAGCTCCGATGTGTGATCAAAACGGTCGACCGCCAGAAACGGTCGACCGTTTCTGGCGGTTCCGGGTCTTGGGGCGCCCGGTTGGATTTTCGAGTTTCTGTTCATTTCTTTGGATTTGGAGCTCAGAGGTTTGCTTTCGATTCCCGGGGCGTCTATTTTTCATGTTCGGGGGAAGCGGGGGACAGAGTTTTTTGGCTTCGATTTTCCTAGGGTGGACATTCGAAGCATTGGGTTCCTGATGATTTCAGTTTCTTATGAATGCGATTTCTTAGGGAGGCTCAGGAATGGATTTCCGAAGACTTCGTTTTCCTGGGATTGGGATTTCGGGGAGGAGAGAGAGAGAGAGAGAGAGAAACAAAAAAAAAAAAAAAAAAAAAAACGATGAGGTAGGCACGAGTATGGCGTTAGGAGGAAAGAGGGGGGAGGAGAGAGGAAGGATGAAGGAGGGAAGGAATGGAATGGTTTGGAATGGAATTCACATGGGGGAAGTGCAAAGCACTAAAAACTAAGAAACGAAAGTGGGAAAAGGATTCCATCCTTGTGCAATGCTCTGAATGTCACTTTCAACGTTGGCAAGGTACGTGGCGTCGACCCACCTCGGCTGCAAATTGCGCCCAAAAGCACCAGCTTGCTTAAGCTCGACCCCCGCGTTTGCTGCAACATTTTCTGCCATGGAAACCGCAAAAGAAATGTATGGTAGACGAGCTAGTTCCACTTTTGAATGCGACCTGGAAATTCGAAATCTTCGAGGTCGCGCGCCGTCACATCCCAGTCGTCTCCGACGACGCAGGGCGTCGCCGTCCTCACTAATATCTCCCACCAACCGCAGGAATGTCAGCGTTGATGCCCGTGGCACCAATCGAGTCATGCAGATGACCGTTTAATAACGTGAACCCAGGCCATGCTGGTAAGTCGACCTAAGACATGTTGTAGCCGATGCTCACAAATGGATTGACCATTGGGTGGACGGCAGCAAAGGATTCCATAGTTGAAGACGGGTTTCCATAACCGAACACGGGTTTCCATAATTGCCGACACGGGTTTCCATAATTGCCAACACGGGCTTCCATAATTGCCGACACGGGTTTCCATAATTGTCGACACGGGCTTCCATAATTGTCGACACAGGTTTCTATAATTGCCGACCCATAATTGACAGCAGGGATCTCCGTAATTAACCGTTTTCGCTATTTGTTTGTTCTTGTTCTGATTGGTTTCCGTTTGTTTCTTCTTGCATGTTTCGTTCTTATGTTGTTGTTTGGTGTTTTTTCCACATTTCTGTTGTTTCTCCATGTTTGTTTGTTGTTGTTGTTTCCCCTTCTCTGTCTCTTCTTATATAGTTTGCACCCCCTCTGCGCCCCAATGCTCGCAGACCGAATGCGGGTGAGACGCGCAGCGCCATTTAAGTGGCAAATTGACGAGCGTCCGCGGAGGAAGGAGAGAGATACCTCTCCCGAGCCAGGCGAATGATAGCATATTAAATTTAGCTCCTCCTCCATCTGCTCACGGCGCGGATTACACTTTCACCCAAACTTTGCTCGTAATGTTTGGTCGGATGCTGGAAAGCATGGAAAGTAGAAAAGTTTTGCTTACGACCCGCATCGCGATTATTGCCAGCACGGCGACCACCTCACGAAAATGGCCAACATCAACCAGACGCCCACCATGTCCAGCACGATGTTACCCGTCCCCGGTCCTGTTTTTCTCATGTGCATTGCTCTTTGACGAGCCGCCCCTGCCGCACGCAATGCGCGTTCCGTACGAATTGCGTCCTTTTCGTCCTGCTCCGCTCTCGACCCGTCGCCCGCCTTCGTCATTGAATCTTCCCGTAATAACGCTCAACTTTCTTGCAAAGACCAATCAGTAAGACAAGAGAAACGGATAGCGAGAATTACCCTGGCGACGTACCCAACCCCTGCGCAAAAGCGGGGCGCAAATAGTTGAGGATACTTTATAAGGGGGCGATGACGGAGCGAGGGTTACATATGTCTGCAGACGGAATTCGGGAGACTCGCAGGACATTGGCTACAGGAAAAGGGCTTGATAAAGCTGATGATTTACAATCCTGAGCACTCCTAGCCACTTCGAAAACGGGGATCACAGCAGGCCTCGAAAGTGGCGACAGGTTCACAGATCGCAGCCCCGCAGGGATGGCGAGGTCTAATTTGAATCCGCGCGTGGCCCTCACTGTGCTGGGCCCCCCAGCAGGCCTCGAAAATGGCGACAGTTTCACAGATCGCAGCCCCCCAGGGATGGCGAGGTCTAATTTGAATCCGCCGTGGCCCTCACTGTGTTGGGCCCCCCAGCAGGCCTCGAAAGTGGCGACAGTTTCACAGATCGCAGCCCCCCAGGGATGGCGAGGTCTAATTTGGGTCCGCCCGTGGCCCTCACTGTGCTGGGCCCCCCAGCAGGCCTCGAAAATGGCGACAGCTTCGCAGATCGCAGCCCCCCAGGGATGGCGAGGTCTAATGTGGGTCCGCCCGTGGCCCTCACTGTGCTGGGCCCCCCAGCAGGCCTCGAAAATGGCGACAGTTTCGCAGATCGCAGCCCCCCAGGGATGGCGATGTCTAATTTGAATCCGCGGCGATTACCCTCACTGTGCTGGGCCCCCCAGCAGGCCTCGAAAATGGCGACAGTTTCGCAGATCGCAGCCCCCCCAGGGACGGCGAGGTCTAATTTGAATCTGCCCGTGGCCCTCACTGTGCTGGGCCCCCCAGCAGGCCTCGAAAATGGCGACAGTTTCACAGATCGCAGCCCCCCAGGGACGGCGAGGTCTCATTTGAATCTGCCCGTGGCCTCACTGTGCTGGGCCCCCCAGCAGGGTGGAGTGGGGGGAGGGGGGGACTTCGAAAATGGCGACAATTTCGCAGATCGCAGCCCCCCAGGGATGGCGAGGTCGAATTTGAATCTGCCCGTGGCCCCCACTGTGCTGGGCCCCCCAGCAGGCCTCGAAAATGGCGACAGTTTCGCAGATCGCAGCCCCCCAGGGATGGCGAGGTCTAATTTGAATCTGCCCGTGGCCCTCACTGTGCTGGGCCCCCCCAGCAGGCCTCGAAAATGGCGGCAGTTTCGCAGATCGCAGCCCCCCAGGGATGGCGAGGTCTAATTTGAATCCGCGCGTGGCCCTCACTGTGCTGGGCCCCCCAGCAGGCCTCGAAAA